GTGGTACTGTTTTTATTTGAAAATTGAATTTATATATGCTCTATTTAGCTCACAGTTGCACAATACACATTACTATCAGGAGCTTAGTATTGCATAAAAGGATGAAGTAGCTGATGTGAGTGTTTATAAAAACAAAATAGCTAGCCTAAATTGACAGCGTGCTTTCCTCTGTCAAGCAGCTTGATATTAACTAGCAATGCTCTATGTGTACACTAGCTATTATTTACATTGTATTACACAATATTATTACTAACTCTTGGTAGCTTTGGTCACATATCAGATGTAGAGCAACCTTGTCATATATCAGCATTTAAAATGCTCCTGACAACCTTAACACATGGGGTTACTATAAGGTTCACAGTTACCTTTTAGCTCTATTAGCTTTATTGACACTACCAGTGTAAGAATTTTGTCTTAACCCGCACTTTTCAGTTGTGTATAACTGTATAAATGCTTCATAGACCACAAGAAATAAAAGGGAAGGAACATTATGATTCAGTTACCTGCAATGACTATTCATGGCCCTGTCTGGACCCCTGGGCAGACCACAATAAAGCTGCTGTGCAGTGCTTCTCTTGTGTAATGAATCATGCTCTGCACTTACAATAAACATCCAGGTACAGTTCATGCTTGCATTTGTGACTAAGGACTGTAATAAGAAATCAGAAAAAAGTCTGCTGCTGGAGAGATTAGCAAGTTTCGGAATGGGCGATGCCGTTAGTCATACAACACCTTGGTCCTGGTGCCCGAACTGGACCGCAATTCGAGCTACAGCAATAAAAAACACAAGAAAGCTTCAGTCACACTCTCATCTCACTGACCAGACCTGCACAAACAGAGAGTGCATCCACTGAAGCAAGACTCCAAGAGGAACACTGCTAGAGGGGCCAGCATCCAGAATCCATACGTAAGATGGGTATCTGCGTTTATGGGATTGGAACAAGTATGCTCAAAAACCTTGTCTTTCTTCAACTGCCACTACATACCAAAAGGAGCAGCAGGTCCTTGACATCCGGAGACACCCAAAAAGGAGAAGAGGCAGGGATCAGCAGGAGAGGAAGGAACTGATTAAAATGTTTTGCTATGTTTCTAGATATTCTTAGGTTTCTATACAGCATATTTTGTACCTAAGATGTAATACTTCCCCCTCTTGCCTTCATGCAGTGATACAAACTCAAAACATTTTTTGAATTGGCATTTGTATTGCTGCCTGCATATCAGAGATACTAATTCATGACTGCTGCTCTATTCCTCTTGGTGGATACAGACTGCAGCTTTCTAGTTTCTGGATTAACAGGCAAGCATCTGAAGTGCCTTTCTGCCATCTGGATCATTAGCTGAACACAAAAACAAAAACGGAATGGAAAACATAGGTGTTGAAATTGTAATATGCTCCTGCAGGCCTGATCCAGAAATGAAGACCATGGAATACATGACCATCTTCCACTTCAAAGCACAATGACTGGCCTGGTTATGGAATCAGGTCTCCTACCCCGTAACTAACTTTGTTGTGCTGTTTAGGGGGAGGCAGTCTGGCATTTGCTAGTTCCATTATCACTTAGAAAACATTATTTGTTAAGTCATGCCCAAATTTTATAGATCACATCTTTATGGAAAATAAACACATCAGCTAGATGAGGGAGGATTATTCACTCTTTCTGTCAGCAAGACATTTTTGGAGTATTTAAAGCAGAGGAGGTAGATTCAGAAAAACTGGAAATTTACTGATGCATGTGCAATGCCTGTGAGGGCTTCTGCTGCACCTCCATTTTGGATTATTCTAAACATTGGCAATAGCTACACAGCTGCTTCCTTTAGATAAAAGGTTGAAGCGTATTTAGCCAATTAAAAGCTATGCAAATGTTTCACACACAACTTCCAGGAATTTGTTCTGCATGATGAATTTTTATTACTCCAAAAAGTATTTATCAAATGATTTATTTAAGTATTTCCTTAATGTAAACAAGTGCAAGGCTACAGAAATGTGCAACATTATCATAGAATTTGAAAGCAGGGAAGTCTTAAAAAATACAACACCAGCACTAAGATGATACATATCTCTCTGCCCTGCTGCCCACAGGTGCGCTTGCACACCCCCTACAATCCCTTCTGAAGTCATCAGAGAATTAGGGCTACATCACGCATTTTACATTCAAAATAGTTTAATTAGCATACATCTTCTGGTTTTCAGTAGTGTTCATCACCTCAATACTTAGGTACCAGACAGACAAATATCATCTGAAAGCAAGACCTAATAACAACCATCTTTCTAGACAAACTCCAGAGAAAAAGGTCTTTTATCCAATCCTCTACAGAAGAATCAAAGTTTAAGGCTTCACCAACTTAATTTTGAAATACCCAGGACTAAAGGAATAGCGTTACTCCATCCTCTGGCACCCCTTTGATTTTTCTTTGGAATATTCATAAATAGCAGCCACTCAATCCATTTTAAATCCATGAATTTCTTCCAGCACAAAAACATATCCCATTGTTGGTACACACTCACCCAATGATTCTTTTTAGCAAGGAGACAAATGGGGTCAAGTCTCTCCTAAATTAACTGCACCCTAGAGAGGATTAGCCACACGTGAGCTCAAACTCTGGACTTAGGACCACCCCATCCTAACATGTCTTCCAGTCACCCCCCTTACCCACCCTTAGTCTTTTGACTTTACCTTAGCTTAAGCAGACCAGGCCAACAAATAAGGCAAAAAAAAAAAAAAGAGACAGATGTTCCACTTCTGAGACACAGTAACTCCTAACATGTACTTGTTTTAATCCACATGGTTTAGTCATGTGTTTGTACAGAAAACTTATAAGCTTCATGGTTTGTGCATCTGGATTTAACACTCCATCCTGTCCCCATGATGTTCAAGCATCAACTAGAAAAAGCTTTGGAACAAAGGGCAGATGCAAATACATGAATGTAAGTAAACTACAACAAGCTAAATGTAACAAGACATACAAGTCTTCTACAGCCATGCTTCTTATTGTTCTAGAACAGTTCACTTTTAAGCAATGAAACAATCTTTCAATTTGACAGTACTTTGAATATAAAATCTTACAAAAGAAGACAGAAAGCCTGAAGGAGAGGACATCCAGTCTATCTCAATGCACAAAGTGATACATTAAGTATAATTTAATAAATAATTAAATAATTTATATTTAAGGGTAAAAAATAGGTAGACATAAATAGAAAAAAGTGTTCTACAAATGCCATATTTTCAGTATCACAACTAAATATTACTGTAACTTCACAAAAAATAGGCTTCATGCCCTACCACTGTAGCAGAATTGAACTCTTATTTAACATAACAGTAATAACAAGAATGAAAGGCTGTTTTCAGAATACTATCCTAATTTTAAAAAAAATAGTAAAAGGAACGAACAACAGAAAAAGTTGTAGCACAACAGCTGGACTGCAACAAACACCAAATGAAAAAAAAAAGGGTAGCCAAAACTTTTCCAGAAGAACACAATTTGTAGTGAAAATGGAAAGTGCGAAATTTATCATTTTGCCTGGCATTATCATAAGGAACCACAAATGAAGCACAGGTATACGTCTGTGTGTAATACACCCAAACTGACTATAGACCAACTTCCTATACTGATAATTAGCTTATAATATCACCAATTAACTCACTTTCACATAAAAAGGTATACACTGGAGATGCATGAAGAGTGCACATTTAGTCCATACTACAAAAGGGAGGCAACTGGAAGTACTCAGATGGCAAACTTCTGTGGACTTTTCAAAATAAATGTCATACAAAGTGCATTTAACACATAATGATAGTATTGCAAGCAAGCAGGTAATTGCATATTCAACCCTTGTTTGTCAGGGTATCACAGCTGTCATCTTTAGAAGACATATTCAGAGAAAAGCGTTACTCAAAAGCTCATGTGTGGTTACCAACAAGATTTAACTATACTTTTTATAAAAATACTTCTATTTTCTCCAAACAGATGCTCTTGGCAATGCTTCCACCCTTCAGCAGGTACACAGTACTTACTAGAGTTACAGCACCATTTCTCTACAACCTCCCTTTTCCATTTCACTCTACTTGGGAAAAGGAGTTCCACACAAGCCATTTCCCCATCAAGCAGAGGTAAATCCGGTTCCCTTTCACAGCTGCAGTCAACCCGAACAGACAAGTTTGCATAGACAAAACATGCCACAGTAAATGATGACATACGACCTCCAGCTACAGTGATCTTGTTTGCTCACTAGAGGAAATCTAGGGCTGATTATGTGCAGAGAATGATGCACATTCATGGGACAGATCACAGTATATCCTCTCCGGGTCCTGAAAATGTGCTTCTGCAGCAACAGAAGCCAGTTTCACTGTTGGTCTTTAAAGCATTGAAAGAACTGCCCTGCAAACAATGTTTATCTCCACTTCAAAATAGCTCAGAAAATCACAAAGCACAGACATCAGCACATTAAGGAAAAGCGAAATAACAGATATATTTTCAAAAAAGGAAGAAATCTGGAACTGTGGGTGAGCAAGAAGTCTAACAGCTGTGATCAGTGAGCCGTGTGTTTATACATCTTTCAACATTATACAAAGCACTGGGTGAATTTGAGACTGTCTCAGATGGCAAAAGTCTGTTGAATGAAACTTGTTGACAATGTTGTTAAAATAGAGAACTAATATTTGATAGCAAAAAAACCACAGCCTGCTATAAATGTCAAATACGGGATTATAAAGCAATGCACAGAGATTCTGGACTTCAATTTCGGTGCATAATCCAACCATCTGTCAACCAGTTGTGTAGGAAAATCACGATAACGTGGAAATCTCCAAAAGGACAGACAAATTCTCTCCCTTCAGCTACAGCATTTCTCTTCTTACGCACACGCCCGCGGTAATCGCACTCTGCCTGCAGATTAACCTGGGGGAGATGACACTTGCCATGGGCAAAAGGAAGATTGCAAAGGCAATCTTGCCAGATAGGCAAGATAAACAGGGCGCTCGGCGCCCGGCGAAGCAGCCTACGGAGGCAGAAGCAGACTTCGCCGCGCCGGTACTACCGAACCGGGCACGGACCCTTCGCCCAGGGCGGCGGGTGCGGGGGGGTCCGGGACTCCCCCAGCCCTCCCCGCCCGGGAGATCCGAGCCGGACTCCCGCCCGGGGGTGAATACGGGGCTGGCACCGTGCAGCCGGAAAGTTAAACCCGCCGGAGAGGGAGTGGAGCCGCTCCTGACGCCTCTCCCACCGCCGGGATGCCGGCCCGGAGCAGCCCTGA